CAGGAGGGCTCCAAGACGGTCCCAGACGGTCCTAAGACAGCCCAGGAGACGCCCTTGAGGCCCCAAAAGGTTTTCAGAGAGCCCCAAGAGGGCCACAGGAGGTCCCCAAGAGGGGGCCTCAGAGGGTCCCGAGAGGGCCCCGAGACGGCCCCAGCCCCAAGGCGGCCCAAGAGGGCCCCAGGACGACCAAGAGGGCCCCAAGACGGCCCAAATGAGCCCCAAAAGGACCCCGCTGCGGGACCAGAGAGGCCATATTCATTGATTTCCGGAGGGTTAGTTTTTAGTTTTTCCCAACCATCTTGTGGTGTTGGGTTCTCGCTTTGAAGACACACCTCCCCGCGTCTCGCACCTCCTCCCGTTCCCTCGTCCCTCCCTCTTCTCATCCCTGCCTCTGCCTCCCGCACAAGCCACAATTCCAGCACACCCTTCACACGTTCCGTGGCCCAATAGGGAGCTCCACCGAAGGCCCCAGTGGCTGCGTTCACATGCTCCCACCGCACACATGTCGGCACATCTTTCACACGCCTCGTGGCTCCATAGGGAGCTCAATCGAAGGCCCCAGTGGCTGCGTTCACAGGCGCCTCACCCCTCACACGCTTCGTGGCCCCGTCGGGAGCTCCAGCGAAGGCCCCAGTGGCTGCGCTCGCATGCGCCCACCGAACCCATGTCGGCACATCCCCCACACGCTTCGTGCCCCCACAGGGAGCTCCACCGAAGGCCCCAGTGGACGCGTTCGCATGCGCCCATCACCGCACCCATTCGTGGGTGGCCCCATGGGCAGCTCCACCGACCGCTCACACGTTTCGTGGCCCCATAGGGAGCTCCACCGAAGGTTCCTCCGGCTGCGTTCGCATGCGCCCACCGCACCCATTTCGGCATACTCCTCACACGTTCTGTGGCCCCGTATGGAGCTCGACCGAAAGTCCCAGTTGCTGCGTTCGCATGCGCCCACCGCAACCACTTCGACACACTCACACTTCTCGTGGCCCCGTAGGGAGCTCCACCGAAGGCCCCAGTGACGCGTTCGCATGCGCCCACCGCGCCCATTGCGCCACACTATTCACACGCTTCTTGGCCCCACCGGGAGCTCCACCGAAGGCCCCAGTGGCTGTGTTCGCATGCGCCCTCTGCACCTACTTCGGCACGCCCCTCACACGTTTCGAGGCCCCACAGGGAGCTCCACCGAAGGCCAGTGGTTGTGCTCGCATGCGCCCACCGCACCCACTTCGGCACACCACTCACACGCGTCGTGCCCCTACCGGGAGCTCCACCGAAGGCCCCAGTGGCTGCGACCACATGCGCCCACCACACCATAAGAGAGCTCCACCGAAAGGCCCTGTGGCTGCGTTCGCATGCGCCCACCGCACCCATTTCGGCACACCCTTCACACGCTTCGTGGCACCGGTGGGAGCTCCACTGAAGGCCACAGTGGCTGCTTTCGCATGTGCCCACCGCATCGATTTCGGCACACCCTTGACACGTTTCATGGCCCGCACGGAGCTCCACCGAAAGCCCCAGTGGCGGTGTTCGCATGCGCCCACTGCACCTATTCCGGCACACCCCTCACACGTTTCGTGGCCCCAGCGGGAGCTCCACCGAAGGCCCCAGTGGCGGTGTTCGCTTGCGTCCGCTCATTTACAGTCGGGGCTCACCAATCACACGTTTCGTGGACCCACAGGGAGCGCTACCGAAGGCTCCAGTGGTGGTGTTCGCATGCGTCCGCCCCGCTCATTCCGATACATCCCTCACACGCTTCGCGGCCTCATCGGGAGCCCCACCGACGGCCTCATTGGCTGTGTTCGCATGCGCCCGCGCCACCAATTTCGGCATGTCCCTCACACGCTTCGTGGCCCCATCGGGTACTCCACCGAAGACCCCAGCGGCTGCGTTCGCATGCGCTCACCGCGCCCATGTTGGTACATTCCTCACACGCTCCGTGGCCCCGCAGGGAGGTCCACCGAAAACGATACTCCCAACGGCGCTACTCACAGCTGCATATGGCTGTGCCCTTCGCCAGGCTAGTTCTATGACGTACCAAAGTCTTAAACCGAGAGGCTCCAAGACATTCAGCAAACGTCTCGCGCCCTCAGAGAACGAGCGCGTTCCGTCCCCGTGCCAACCAAGTCTACTCGCACAGTTGACGGTCATTGCCGGCCCTAGACGACCCAAGGCTGCCTCAAGAGCGCTTCAGAGGGCCCCAAGACGGCCCAGCACAGCCCCGAGAGCGCCCAAGCTGCCCCCACGACGGCCCCAGGAAGGCCCAAGAGGGCCCCAAGACGGCCCGAGGGCGTTCAAACAGCCCTAAGAGGACCTAAGACGGCCAAGACGCTCCACGAGGCCTCCAAAAGGATGCCCAAGAGGCAAGAATCGTGCCATTCCTTTTGGGGAGAAAACGTATATGCCTAGCATATCGGAGGTTGGGGGGTGAGTCCGACGTGAAACGGAGACCCCCCCCGGGAAATCGATTTCGGTTTCGGGTTCGTGTCGTGCGTGCCGTGCGTGCGTGCGGGCGAGGCGAAGCTGCGTGGGCGGGCGAGAGGAAATCCTCCTGTGGCTGGGCCGCGGCCGGACCAAATGTAACTCCTCCAGCGGCCGGTGCCCCGCGGTGTCCCGCCGGTGTCCCGCCGGTGTCCCGAAATCCTCCTGTGGCTGGGCCGCGGCCGGACCAAATGTAACTCCTCCGGCGGCCGGTGCCCCGCGGTGTCCCGCCGGTGTCCCGTGGTGTCCCGTGGTGTCCCGTGGTGTCCGCCGTTGCCAGGGCGAAGTCAAGACAAATGATTCTCCCCCCATCCCGCCCGTCCGGCGGTGGCTCGCGGTGTCCCGCGGTGTCCAGTGGTGTCCCGTGGTGTCCCGTGATGTCCGCCGTTGCTAGGGCGAAGTCAAGACAAATGATTCTCCCCTGCCCGCCCGTCCGTCCGTCCGTCCGGCGGTGGCTTGCGGTGTCCCGCGGTATCCCGTGGTGTCCCGTGGTGTCCCGTTGAGTGAGATCGATATTGAGATCGATACTGAGATCGATCATGAGATCGATGTGGTGCCCCGAGGTGTCCCGTGGTGTCCCAAAAAGTGAGATCGATAGTGAGATCGATAATGAGATCGACAGGTGTCCCGTGGTGTCCCGTTGAGTGAGATCGATAGTGAGATCGATACTGAGATCGATGCGGTGCCCCGAGGTGTCCCGTGGTGTCCCGTGTTGTCCGGTTGAGTGAGATCGATAATGAGAAGATCGATCGTGAGATCGACAGGTGTCCCGTGGTGTCCCGTAGTGTCCCGTTGAGTGAGATCGATATTGAGATCGATAGTGAGATCGATGTGGTGTCCCGTGGTGTCCTGTGGTGTCCCGTTGAGTGAGATCGATAGTGAGATCGGTAGTGAGACCGGTAGTGAGATCGAGAGGTGTCCCACAGTGTCCCGATGAGTGAGGTCGATAGTGAGATCGACAAGTGTCCCATGGTGTCCCGTGGTGTCACGTGGTGTCCCATGGTGTCCCGTAGTGTCCCATTGAGTAAGATCGATAGTGAGATCGATTGAGTCAGATGTTGGTTCCTCCCCTTTCCCCCCCACAACCTCCTTATCACCCGAAGGGTGGTCGTATAGGTATGTTTCTGTGGTCTTCACCGCGTCCACGACGGCCCAAGAGGCCCCAAAGATCGCTCCAATGCGGGACAAGAGACCCACAAGACGGCCCCAAACGGCCCAAGAGGGCTCCAAGACGGCCCCAGAAGGCCCCAAGGCAGCCCAAAAGAGGCCCGAAAAACGTTCCCAAGAGAGCCCCAAGTGGGCCACAGGAGGTTCCCCAGAGGGCCTTGAGACGGCCCCAAGACGGCCCAAGATGGCCCCCAGGACGGCCCAAGAGGACCCCAAGACGGCCTAACGGAGCATTGGAAGAACGTCCAAGAAGGCTTGGAGAGGCCATAGTCATGGATGGTTGCAAGGTTGTCTGTTGTTTGCTTGAATGACGCACCAAAGTCTTAACACAAAGAGGGCTCCGAGACATTGAGCCTGCGATCTCGCGCCCTCACAGAGTGCACGCGCCTTCCACCCCCGTGCCAAGCAGGTGTCGGAAAGAGCGAGGTACGAGTCATGAAGTTGAGCTGGGGCAAAGACCTCCAGGGAGAGGTCCAGGGAAGGGACGAGGATCGGGGACATGCCCCCCGAGAGGCCCCCGAGACGGCCCAAGAGGCGTCCAGGACGTCCCGAGGTCCTCGACGGCTCCAAGATGGCCCAAGAGCGTTCCAAGAGACCGTCCAAGACCTTCCAAGATCGCTTCAGATGGCCTGAAGACGATCCAAGAGGAGGGCCCCGAGACGCCCCAAGAGGCCTCCAAGGGCCAAGGACGGCCCAAGAGGCCCCAAAGATCACCCCAAGAGGTTCCCACGAGGGTTCGAAGACTGTTCAAGAGAGCCTCACGATAGCCAAACAGGGCTAGAGGCTCCCAAAAGAGCCTCTAGAGGGCCCCAGGAGGCTCCCAAGAGAGCGCCCAGAGGGCCACGGAGGCCGCCACGAGGGCCAAGGAGGGCTCCGAGAGGGCCCGAAGACGGCCCACAAGCCGCCCTGGAGGACCCCTCAGACGGCCCGAGGAAGCAAGACACATTGAATTTCCACAGGTTTTCCATTCCCAACCAACCTGTTGTTGGGTTTTCGTTTTGAAAGACGGTGCCCCGCGTTCCTCTCTTGTCCTCCTCTTCCCCTCCTCCCTCCCCCTCGTCCCCCTCCTCCCTCCTCCCTGCGTTTCACCCACCCAGTGCAGCGCTTTGTGGCCCCATATGGGAACCCCACCGAAGGTCCCAGTGCTACCGTCCGCATGCGTCCCGCACACCCAGTACAGCGTTTCGTGGCCCCCCTCCCTGCGTCTCACCCACCCAGTACGAAGGTCCCAGCGCTACCGTCCGCATGCGCCCCGCACACCCGCGCGCCGACATAGGCAAAAGCCACGGGCTTCGGCACAGCGCGCCCACCTCTCTTGCATGCTCTCCCTGAGGGCACTCCAGCTCGTGCCTCAGGGCACGGTGGCGGATTACGCGGGCGAGGCACCGGGTCTGGATTTACGAACAGTCGGACGCGGGCTTGCCGGCGCTGGCGTATTGGAGGGCGCAGATGGTCATACGGTTGGTGTCGTCCACGAACGATGCGAATTCGTGCCCTGACCTCGCCGGCGGCTTGGCCGAGGCCTCCTCGGCAAATGAGTTCGTGGATCTCCGAGGAGGAAAAAGTACCCGTACAGCTATCCTTGCCACATTTCCGCCTTACGGCTGGAATCGCCTTGAAGTTCTGGTCTGAACGCACCCCAGGAGAGGTCCAGGGAGCAGCGGTGTCGGTACCTTTTGGTTTCCCCAGGATCAGGGACTCACCTTGCTTCAGCAGGGCCACTTCGACCAGGCCATCATGCTCTTCACGCGCGCACAGAATGTTGGCCACCTAGGTGCCTCCATGTGGCGTCAGTTTGCACAAGCTTCGAAGATAAAGAGGCAGGCCTCCCTGACGGAAGGCGAGCGCAAATTCTCCCTCCTCCAGCAGGTTGCCCACATATTCGTCGGCTTGGCTAGAGAGCGCGAAAGGTCCCACGCCACTCAAGGGCTTGACCCGCTGCAGCCTGGACACTTGCGACTCATGGCTGCAGATTGCTACCGTGATGCGGCGACATTCAAACAGGCCGCGAGTTGGTACGACAAGTGCGCTGCTGACGAGGTCCACTATCAGGCCAGGACGTCACGCGACCATCACATGCAGGCAGCGCAGTGTTGGGAGCAGGTGCCCGAATGGGTCAAGGCTGGAGACTCGTGGCGGAACGCGGATGAGATGCGGCAAGCTCTGGACGCCTACATTCGCGGGAAGGCGTGGACCAAGTTCGTCGACGCGGCGAGAGACAGAAGGACGCAAAACATTCCAGAGTTCACCGAGTTGGTTCGGAGGAGCTCAAGGCAGCTTTCGAAGGAGCTCAGGGCACTGCGGCAGGACGACCGCATCCGAGAGACCCAGGAGTGGAGGGCGTGTCTCGAGTGCCTCGGCTTCCTGAGGAGAGGCCCGCGCCGCGATGCCTTCGTGGAGAGCCTCGATCTACCTGCAGGTCTGGACATCGATGTGATGGAGGCCGACGGTCGCTTCGACGACTGCGCGGCGTTGTGCATGGAGCGGTTCGACATGAAACGCGCTGCCAGATTCTATCAGCGCGACGGGCGTGCAGATTTGCAGCATCACATGGAGAAGTTGGAACGGCTCCAGAGTCTGGGATACTCATGGTCACCCCCAGAGGTGATGGCGTGGCTTGCGCAGCCAGGGACCGGTTCCCTTTTCGAGCTACCTGGTCTTGACAGCTGGGCACGTGAGGGCGGCAGTGCGCTGTGCCGCTTTTGGGATTATTGTTTCAACAAGGGTGATGGCCAGCGGCACCGCGCAGAAGAGCAGGCATCTGGGCACGCGCTGCGCTTCCAGTTGATCGCCTTCGCGTTGGCGGCGGGGTGCGCGGGCGGCGGCGGCGGCGGGCGCAAGCAGGCTGGAGTTCCAAGTCTCAGGGAGCTGCAGCTCTGGCACGATCAGGTCCAGGCGGCCCTGCAGCGGCTCCTGGAGGCCCTGCGCGCTCATGAAGGCGGCGCGTCGGTCAATGTGCCAGACTGGGCGCAGCAGGCGGCGTTCGAGCTGCTCCTGGTGGAGCAGCCGCTGCAGGTGCAGCCGTCGTGCCTCGTGCTCACGCATGCTGACGGCCCTCGCATGCCAGTGCACGCAGCGCTGCTCCTCGCCAGAGCTTCGCTGAAGTTGCTGCAGCTGAGGGCCCGCTGCGAGCTCTGCGCCGCCGCCCTGGGGCACTTCCGGCGGTCCTCGCCCTGCTGGAGCTTCTCAGCGCACGGAAGTCGATGAACTAAAATTGCTTACAAGCAAAAGCTTTCGGAGCTCCGCGCGGACTTCTCGGATCGACGCTGGACCCTCAGTAGCGCGCGGAGCGCACCAGCAGCGGCGCCGCCAGAGGGGCCCAGCACCGATCCAAGAAATCCCGCAGAGCCCCGAAAGCTACGGTCAGAAACTTTGGCTTAGCATGTCGCTCCGCCGGTTCTGGCCCACCACCCTTCGGCGCGATGCGCTACCCGTGTCCCATCTCCAAGCGTCAACGTCGCGAGCTGTTCCCAGCCTCCCGCCCTGCGGAGCAGAACCACACGCTACCCGCTTGCAGGGCAGAGCATGTCGCCGCGGCCGCCGCCGCGACACGCTTAGCTAAAGCTCCTGACCTCCTGTGATCCGTCGTTGCCAAAAAATCGCAACATCGCAAAAAATCAGGACTGGACCCCCGGACCCCAAATTTCTGCGTCATTTTTCGAGCCAGATCGATCTGTGAGGGCCTTGGGGCCGAAATGGAGCGAAAACGCCTGGCTCGAAAAAAATGAGTCGCCAGGATCTCAGGGGCCATAATGTGCATGTCGTGCCTCGCTCTTCCAGGAAGTTGCCTCGAGAGAGGCTGCACGAAGCTCCACGGCGCAGCCGCACCACGGCTCGGCACAGCGGCCGCGGCCGCCTGGGCCGCTCTGCGGAGGGCGCGGCAGCTGGCGGAGAGCGCGGCCGTGCAGCGCGCCTTCGAGCACGCGGGGCCGGCCGTGATGGGCAGGTGGGGCGACCGCAAGAGCATGCAGGGGCGCCTGTGCCAGGTGGAGCACGCGCTGCTCCAGGATCAGAGGAGGGAGGGAGAAGCCGATGCCGCTGCCCGTCCTGGAGAGCCCTCGTCGCAAAAGCCGAGTTCTCCTCGAGGGTCTGGTCAGAAGGCGCCCCAGGAGAGGCCCAGGGAGGTCGAGGAACAAAAAACGGCGTGAACATGACCGTTCGGAGTTTGGGCGCGAATTAATGTCAGGCGGGAAAAACACACAGACCCAAGTAATCGTCGATCTCCAGGGGAATATAAGAAAATATGGGAAGTGGGAGTGAAGACGAAGAATAAGTCGGGCATGTCCCTCGGGAAAATGAGTCGGGCATGTCCCTCTTCAGAAGGAAGATCCGTGAATAGTTTAAAAACTAGCCTGGGGACGATTTATCATGCTCTCTTTATTCTGTGTGAGCACAGCTCGATTGTTTCTGTCTTACACATTACGCCTGTAGGAGGACATGCCCGACCTACATTTATCGCCCCCCCCAGTTATCGCCGCCCAAGACGGAGCTCTGCACGCATTTCTCGGATCAGCGCTGGGGCCCCCTCGGCGGTGCCTCTGGCGCCGTCCCTGGCGCGCTCCGAGCGCCGGGGAGGGGGGGCCGAGCGCAGATACACGGAACCCGCGCGGAGATCCCGTTTTTCTTCCTTAAAGGAGGGTCTCTTGGACAAGATCTGGGTCCCCGCTGAGCACGAGGCAGACTCTCTCCGCAAGGCGATTGACCATTTGGTGGCAGCGGTGCGGGTGCGTGGTTCGCCCCCAGAGCTGAAGGAGCTGCTTCAAGCTCCCAGCGTGCTCCTCTACAGTCAGCTGGTGGGCTACCACGGGGTGGCTGCACTCGGCAGTCTGATCCGCCGTTGCGGTTGGCAGGGAGGCTCGAAGTCGCAACGCCTAGCGAGGTATTCAATCTACATGCTCTGTACCGCTCATGCGGCCAGTCCAGCAGGCTGCCTAGAAGTTCATCGTGAACCCGGCTACAGCGACCTGCTGCAGTTCTTTGGCATGGCATGTTCCATCGCACATCAAGTGACTGAAGAATGGCGCGGATGCAGTTCTGATTTTGGAATCGCCCCGAATGCTGTCTGTCATATATCCTGGAGACTTGCGTCGTTCCGCCCACTCACAAGAGAGGGGATTCGTGAAAATGGCATGGGCTGCTCGAAAGCCACCGGGAGACCAAAAGAGAGAAGGAGGAGTAAGACCAATATTAAACGAAGGAAGAGGCGGAAGGAGCAAGAGGCGGAGAAGAGAAAGCGCAGGAATACAATGCGGAGGAATCAAGGAGGTCCAGAATAAGGGCGCCATGAGCCTCAAATGCAAACCATGTCGTCTTATGTGATTGCGGCGTCATTGAACTAAGCATGAGCATGCGCATCTCGCCTTCAGGATGCCTTCGGGGGCAAGATTGGGGCTCTCTTGAGTGAGCTCTCTGGGGGTCACCCTATGGCTTCGTGTGTTTGTTGCTGTGGAAGGGGGTCACGTTTGGTCCGTCGTGAGATTGTTTGGGATGTATAATTGAACGCCCCCGAGGGGGCAGACACCGCCGCCCCACTGTTTTTGCAGCGCGCTTACGTTGATGCAGATGTGAGAAGTCGTGAATCCCGCGATGGACCATTTGAGCAGCACTGGGCCACAGAGAGGCGAAGACGACCCAAGAAGTCGTGAGCAGTTAGTGAGAACTTGCTCCTGTAAGCCAAGGAGGGCCCCGACAAGCCGCCAGGACAGCCGCAAGGATGCCAGAAAAGTCCCAACTACCATCGGGCTCGGCCCAGAAAAAGCGCCGGGGGGGAGGCCCGAGAGGGGCCCAAAAAGTAACCAGGATGGGTCGAGTGCGGCGGAGTGGGGTGACCGAGGGAAACGGGAGGGAAAAACAAAATCCCGACTTAGTTTTTGGCTCTTGGAGAAGCCCCCGGAGGTTTTTTGGGGGCGCCCCGGACTACCGAAAAAGCCACCCAGAAGATACCCAGAGAGCTCTGTGAGGGGACCCAAGAGGCAGTCAGGACGGCCGCAGAGAGCATCCGCAGATTCCAGGATGGAAGGAGGAGCCCGGAGAGACGCACGGGAGCTCCAAGAGAGGCGCAAGGAGAAGCTCGAGACGGCTGGAATCGTCTAAACCCTATGTGTTTTTTGAGGCTGTTAGCTCATCTGGAATTGCAGGTCGTTTGATACCGGACGGAAGTGGAGAGGCATCCAGAACGGCCCAAGGTGACCCTAATGATCGGAAGAAGAGCCCAGGGGGGGGTCCCGAGAGGCCCCCAAAAAACCGATTGAGGAGGCCCCCGGAGAGGTTTCTCAGAGGGCCCGGTGGCGCCCAGAAGATTGGAGTTTGAAACGGGTCGTTTTGGGATGAAAATTATGGGCACCACGGCCGCACCCAAGGGCCCTCGGGCTGGCGGAGTGAGCGGTCCCCAGCGAGGACCCCAGGTGGGATTCGGAGAGGCTCGGAAGCAGGCATAGGTATGAAAAGTGCGTTGGTGAGAAGACTAACGGGAAACAGTCCTTGCAGATCATGCGGTGGA